CACCACTGAGGACAGAGCTGAGCAGCGCCGAGCGCGTGTGTGCGTGCAGCTGGGATGTGCTGGGCCGAGGAGGGCCGTTGTACCTGAACTCCTTGGTGCTCGCCAGGGCGGGCGAGGCAGACAGGCTGCGGGACTTGGCGCGACCCCGGATGGGGTGGCCCATCAGACCGTCCTCATCCCCGTGGCAGGCAGCACAGCGGTAGGAGGACGTGTCTGCGCTCAGCCCCCTCCGCACGTTGACTTTCTCCGGCTCCATCTCCATCATCGATGAACAAGGGCTTCGGTCCAAACACCAATCCCTTAATTTAATAAAATAAAGCAAGTAAGAGACGACGCACAGAGCTGCGCACCGCTCCTCCCGAAGTGCTGACGGGCCCCACCAGGGCCCGCCCCGTCCCAGGCGCCCAAGAGCTCAAGAGTGTCCGTGGTTCAATGAATCAGAGGATTCAAAAGGCCAGAAGCGAGAGTGGCGACGGCACTTCTCTCACGAACCCGGTGGGACACAGCAGTTAAGAGAGAGAATCCAGGGGCATTTGAAACGCCTCTCAGTCCAGAAAAGCTGAACAAACGTAACTAAGGCGGCAGCAGGCACACTGGACTCGGTGCCCTGCAAGCAGAGCCTGCGCTTCCGTCCAAGAAACAGCCACCAAGCGGACCCGTTTCATCCGCGAAGAAAGCCTCAACCTCCGAACCGCGTGAGCGGCCAGGAACCCGCGGCGGAGCAGAGGCAAAACCCGGGCCACCGGCTCTTCCCACCCACTCGGCGCTCAGCTCCGCGTGGACACAGCACCGGCCAGAAAAGAAAGGCTCCGTGTCAACAGGAAGCCGCAGCCTGGCCGCCGGGATTCCTGAGCGCGAGCGGGAGGAATGCGCTCACACTCACTCACCAGGGCCGGAGTCAAGGAAGCCTAATAAGGCCGGAGAGGTGACAACTTGGATCATGAAGTGATTTTCTAAGAAAATTCCCGACTGATGAGAGAGAGAGAGAGAGAGAGAGAGAGAGAGAGAGAACAAACACTGACCTCCCCCAGTGCCGGGGCCGTGACCCCGAAGGTGTCCCTCCCAGGAGTCAGCGTGGAGGGAGGACAGGCCCCGGCTGAGGACGACCCCAGGCCGGGGACCAGCAGGGTGAGGCCACACCAGCCTCCACAGGAACAAGCGGCCAGGCCAGGACACACACCGTCCAGAGCAGGGACGCAGCCTCCTCCTCCAGGAGGCAGGGCTGGCACCAGCGGGGCGTGTGGGGAGGGGAGGAGGGCGGGGAAGGGGAGGGCTCTGGGCAGGCCTGGGCTGCCAGGGGAGGTCAAAGGTGATGGGATCCTTGAAGGCACCCCACCCCGCACTGCAGGCGCCCGAGGAGCCCTGAGCCCCAGGTGACACTGTCCTGGGGGTGAAAGTCACTGAGAACCAGAACCACCGAGGGTCCGACAGCCCCCTGGACCCGAGGCTCCAGTCGAGGTGACGGAAGCACCGAGGCAAGATGACGAGACAGAACAGCATCGGAGGCGGGACTGCGGCAGGTGCAGGGCCTTCTGTGTAGAAAGCCTTCCGGAAGCTACAAGTGACTACACCCAACAGGCGAGCTCCTCAGCAAGGCTGCAGGAGGCACCGAATGCATACAAACCAACAGCACTTCTGTAAACCAGCAACCAACACTAAGCTGGGCTTCAAAAACACCAGACCCGGCACTAAAGCACAGCACGTGTAGGGGCACAGCTGACAGTGTGGGGCCTGCTTCCCAGGGTCAGGTGAGCGGCCTGGGCCGGAGCGGGCAGCACACAGCTCGGGCTGGAGTTAACCAGCACCAAGTCGCACGTGTGAACTTCTCATCAGACAAAAGGCCCGAGACTCGCAGTGGTAGGTGGTAGGGGCCCTGCTGTGGGATGTTTTGCGACAAATACAAACTATCTAAAGTGGGGCACTCCTGCCACTCACACCCTGTGACATGTCAATTACGCCCCAAGAAGAAAGTTGCAGAATCTATGCAGAAAAGACAGAAGGCTGCTGACAGGTCAGAGGAAACAAGTGAGGAAGGACAGCCGCTGAGGACAGGAGGGGACAGTTCCCTCAGTCCCGTCCCCCGCCCTCCACACTCACAGGCCCCCCCACATCCACAGCAAACCAGCGGCTTCCCTGTGAGGAAGGACAAGCTGAGCCTACATCCCTCTGGAAGGGGAAGGGACCAGGCCCGCTGAGCCCGGGGGAGAGCAGCGCTGCCGTGAGCTGCATGTGGTGCCGACACAAGACGGACAGACAGGCCAGGGACGGAGGACACCAGCGCTGGGCAGTCTTAGTGGCCGTGGCTCCAGCGCTGGGCAGTCTCAGTGGCCGTGGCTCCAGCGCTGGGCAGTCTTAGTGGCCGTGGCTCCAGCGCTGGGCAGTCTCAGTGGCCGTGGCTCCAGCGCTGGGCAGTCTTAGTGGCCGTGGCTCCAGCGCTGGGCAGTCTCAGTGGCCGTGGCTCCAGCGCTGGGCAGTCTTAGTGGCCGTGGCTCCAGCGCTGGGCAGTCTCAGTGGCCGTGGCTCCAGCGCTGGGCAGTCTTAGTGGCCGTGGCTCTGTCGAAGGCTTTTAAACAGAACACGAAAAGCACAGACTAAAAGAAAGCGAACCTCGTTATGACTGAAATCTTTCACCTTCACCAGACCGTTAATACAGGGAAATACAAGCGGTGGGTGACAGAAAACATCTGCTAAACACACGTGACAAAGGATTGTAGCAAGAATATGTACAAATGCCCTAACCGGTTTGGCTCAGTGGCTAGAGCGTCGGTCTGCGGACTCAAGAGTCCCAGGTTCGATTCCGGTCAAGGGCATGTACCTTGGTTGCGGGCACATCCCCAGGGAACGCCTGCGCCTCCCCCCGCGGTCCCCTCTCTCCCCCGAGGTCCCCTCCCCCCCTTCCACTGGGTCTCCCTCCCTCCCTGACCTACAACTGAAGCTACAGACACTGACATTGTTCTGCTCAGGCTCTCGGGGCCTAAAAGGTCCCCCAGCCCCTAAGGGCTGCTGCCCCAGAGGCTGGCGCTCAGGGGACAGGCTCGCTCAGGGGGTGTGCAGGAGGCAGCTGATCGATGTTTCTCTCTCATTGATATTTCTAACTCTCTATCCCTCTCCCTTCTTCTCTGTAAAAAAATCAATAAAATATATTTTTTAAAAAAAGAAATATGTACAAACTTTCAAAACTCCGCAAACAAGCCCATTAAAAACCTGGCCAAAGCTGCACAGACACCGACAACAGCAGCCACAGGGAAACGCAACCAAAACCAGTCAGACACCACGGACGCCAGGCAGAAAGGCGGGTCTGAGCGCTGACCGCAGCCTGGGCCGGAGAGCGAGGTCTCGGGGCCGGGACCCACAGGCACGGCCGGGGGAGAGAGGACACGCAGCCTGGCTGGAAGTTTCTTAACATGTTACACACACACCTGCCCAGGCTACAGCCACCCCACCCGTGTGCGCCCCAGGAACGACACGTGTCCACACAGACCTGTACGCAAAGCCTGGGCACCCCACACCCAACAGCCCTCTGCTCAGGTCTTCGCTCCAACGGCACCTGGTCCCCTCTCTCCCCCGAGGTCCCCTCCCCCCCTTCCACTGGGTCTCCCTCCCTCCCTGACCTACAACTGAAGCTACAGACACTGACATTGTTCTGCTCAGGCTCTCGGGGCCTAAAAGGTCCCCCAGCCCCTAAGGGCTGCTGCCCCAGAGGCTGGCGCTCAGGGGACAGGCTCGCTCAGGGGTGAGCACTCAACCAGGAGCTGATGCCGCCCCAGGGTGGGGCCAGGAGACACAGGACTGAACCGGTGGAGCCCCCACTGAGGAGCCAAAAGAAGGGGGTCTGGCAAGGAGCCTGGAGGAAGCTGGAGGGTGAGGTCGAAAGGCAGGATTGGCAGGAGGACCACAGCCAGGGACAGGGCTTGACGGTGAAAACCCAGGTGGCTCCCTTACTTCCTTATTCAAACTGCCCAACAGCCACCGCACTGAGCATTGGCTGGTACTTCCCTGGATTAACCCACCCAGGCCTCCCTCGACCCCAGGAGGCTCCAGGAGTCCTCCCTCGACCCCAGGAGGCCCCAGGAGTCCTCCCTCGACCCCAGGGGTCCTCCCTCGACCCCAGGAGGTCGGCACCACAGATGAGAGGAGTGACCCCACATGGGCCCACACTGAAAGGGTTGTTCAGACCTAAAAACTGAGTCATGGGCTGGCACCCAGAGGCCTGGAGGCCGCCCCCACGAACGCAGAGGCACCAGCAAAACATGTCAGTCTCCTCTGACCCGCTCAGGGAGGCCAGTCGACAGCCCGCAGGCCTGGAGAGGGCCCCGTCGGCCACGCTCCAACAAGGAAATGGTTCGAATTGGGCCCAGTGATGTCTGAGAGCCCACAGGGAAGGTGGCAGAGCATAGGAAAAGCACCTGGGGCAGACACGGGGGACATGACAGGCGTCAAACACCAGGGCAGGCCACCCACCCTGCTGCCCTATCTCCCCCTGCCCACCCCCCACCCCCCAGCGGAGCCAAAACCAGGAGCAGGGATGGGTGGCATGGAACCAGGCAACCACACCACCACGCCCCGGGCCAGGTCGCACAGCTGGCATCTGGGCCAACACTCCCAGGCCCCTGCTCAACCACAGCAGACACAGCAGGGAGGCCCAACAGAGACCCAAGGCCTGAGCTGGCCAAGGGCCCTGGGAGGCGAGAGGACCCTGCAGACGCAGCTCCTCGGCCCATGGAAACAATGCCTGCCGTCCCCGCCCAACACTCTGGCCAGCAGACCTGAGGAGCACAGGCAGGGCCGGCATCAGGCTGCAAGGAGCTGGACCCGTGTGGAAGGCAGGCCAGGCCGCCTCCAAACGCCCAGAGGTGAGAGAAGCCGGGGAAATAATGCCGATAAAACGACAACGGAAATGGCTGGGCGTGAGCTGTGGTCACTGAGCCTGCGGCCTGAGCCGGCGGGGAGGCTGTAACCCTAGAAGCACGTGGAAAACTCTCATTCCAAGAAGGGACAGAAATAACTACCTGGTAAGGGTACTAGGCCTCGATAAGATAAGGCAAATGAATGAATTAAACCCATGATGCCAAAACGTTCAAAATGGTTATAATTTTATAATCATTAGATTTTTGTGTATTTTGTTTGATGTTATGGGTAACATACTCAGAAGAATAATTCATTCGATGTAATTATCATTTAAATGGATGAGGGAGTTAAAGTCTGTAACCAGCCCTAACCGGTTTGGCTCAGTGGATAGAGCGGCCTGCGGACTGAAGTCCCGGGTTCGATTCCGGTCAAGGGCATGTACGGTTGTGGGCGTCAAGGGCATGTACCTTGGTTGTGGGCAACATCTCCAGTAGGGGGTGTGCGGGAGGCAGCTGATCCATGTTTCTCTCTCGTGGATGTTTCTAACTTTCTAGTCCTCTCTGTAAAAAATCAATAAAATATTTAAAAAAATAAAAAAATAAAGTCTGTAACCAGTGCTCCAAGTTTAACTTCTAAATTCGTTTATTAGTTAGGAAGTCGGGTACTCAGCATTGTACAGAGCGCCGAGGGCGGGCTCCCTCGCAGGCAGACCACTACCCCAGCCCCGCCTGCCCCAGCAGGCAATGAGGGTCCCCCAGCTGCACCGGGAGGAGCCAGAGGCCCTTTCCCAGCCCAGCCCTAACCCACAGCTCGGCCGGTCCTGGAAGAGCTGGACACGGCTGCTAGAGCTAAGCACGCAGGTGGCGCTGTCTCCGCTTCTGCCTGCAGTTCACGCATTACAGACGTCACTCCAACCCTCGGGGTGATGTTTTATGCTCCCAGAGTAGCCTTACTTTGAACACAATATATGCTTAAAAGGAATAAACCAATCGCCAATGGGTTTGTTCTGGGAATGCAAGGTTGGCTCAACCAATGGAAGGCAGCACATCAGCAAGGCAAGAAGGAAACTCACCTGATGGCATCAACTGATGCACAGAACTCCACACCCGCCTACGACACAGACTCTCCGTTACCAGGAACAGGGAGGACTGTCCTGACCTCGATAAAGAACATCCACAGACACCTACAGCTGACATCCAACCTAATGGTGAATAAGTGAATGTCTTCCCCGACAGGGCGGGCAAGGCTGCGGTCTGCTCTCGCCACTCTGCCCGACAATACAATGCAGAAGTCCGGCCGGCACAACAGGCAAAGCAG